CCGGCCGCCCCGGGTGGGCTGCGTCCCTCTCCCGTGGCTCCTCGGGGCCGAGCCCACGGTCTGCCACGTTCAGTCAGTGAGAAGCACTTGCTGATGGGCTGGTGGTGTTCAGGGCGCCCGATCGGAAGTCTGAGGTTCGGGGAAAGAAGGACTGAAAACAAGGTTGAGCCGTTCATACAGCAAACTGAGACGGGGGTGGGGGGAGAGAGACGGGTCGTGGGGGGGAGGCCTTGGCACGGGGCTGGCACACGGTGCACGACAGGAGACCGCAGCCCGTGTGAGACGACGGTGCGTAATAGAGCCCCGTGGTACCCATGCTCGGGACTGAACCTAACTGGTAGGTTTCTCTGTGTTACCTCCAGGCAAAAACAACTTTGAAAAACCCGTCGATAAAAAGAAGAGTGGATGAAGCTTACTCCTTAGCAAAGAACAGTAAGTTTTGCTCTTGCCGAGACTACGGCCGTCTTGGCGCCACGACGCGCCTCGCGATTACTGGGTCTGGACACAGCTGTCCACGCTCGTGCTCCGCTCCGATGGTCGTGGAGCTTCTTGCTCAAGTTTCGGGTGATGCGCTGGTATCTGGCCCGTGCCTCCCACTGTAGCATTCTTTAAATCACGCAGTGTCGGGTAGACGGTGGTGCAAAGCCGGACGGCTCCTTAGACGCGTCCGGGGCCTTCCTCCCAGTCATTTTTTTCTCCCTTGAACTTCCTTTGCCGAGAGCTGTGGCTGCGACACGTGTGTCCTTAGGCGTAAGCACTGGGTCCAGTTACAACTGACCGTTGGTGGGAAACTTTGACCTGGCCTCAGGGAGCCGAACGAGTGGCGTGAGAACAGCAGCCGGGGCACCCTCCGCCCAGGCACGCGGTGGCCGTGCGGGCTTCTCGCCACGCCACTTTCCGCCTCTGAGCGCCTTCTCGCTGGGACGGGACCGGGTCCGTCCTGCCCTGTGCTGGGCCTGCGGCTCGTTGATTTGCGTTTTTTCGTGCGACTTTTTGCAGGTGGTTTGGGCCTTGAGGGTTTTGTTTAGCTTCTGTGACCATGAGCTTCTCGAGGTGGCGGGAACCCAGTTCTGTTAGCATTTTTAGGTGTGATGGTGGGGGCCCGTTGGGGGCTGCTGCTGTTTTTATTCTCTGGTTTTTTTAAAAAAACAAACAAACTGGAGACTTCTATACCTCTTAATTTAAAAAAAAAATGTCAAATAATCTTATAACGTGAGTGCATTGGGAGCTTACATAGAACTTTGGCTATGTATGGATCCTATTCGTGTGTGTATGTGTCCACCCTTCAGTGACCTGCTAAATCTAATAAACTTCCTCTCCCGTATTCTTATTCTCCCCCTCAGCTTTCTCAGGCTCAGAAGAAACCCCTCTAAATGCCTATTACCTGCAGTGTCTTGACAACCTGGCCCAGCTCCTCAGCTCTTCGTGAGCAGCCGTGGGCCTCGCCTGGAGCTGGCGGCCACGGCGGCCGTGGCGGGTCCGGGCATGCCCAGCCTCTGGCACTGCCTCCAGCCCGGTCCTGTGGGCGTGGACCCCCACCGAGGGGACGGAGGGAGGGAGGGAACGGACGGCCCCGCCACTAAGAGCTGCTGGCGGGAAGGTGGCGAAGACTTGGGCCGTTCCAGGAACGCGAGCGTACTTACCTTTCTCTATGCAACTTGTTTTGTAAAAATTCTATTTAACAGTTATTTAATAAAATAAAATATTTTTAGAAACTGAACATGGACGGCTAATGGCTGCTTGTAGACTTTTGTCAAGCTCATGAATGTAAATTTTAGGAGTTGAAAGAAGACATTGTTTTCTGAAGTTCTGTTTTAAAAAAATGTTTTCCGCGAACTGTGGCTCTTGTCAATACAAATCCTTGTTTTTCAAGCCGTATATTGTCCGGGGGACGGAAACCCCGGGGCCAGCGTGTAGAGTTTGCGAAGAGTGCTTCAGTGACGCTGGCTCCTTCGTGTGTAACGGGTTCGTGAAAGGCTGGGGGCGAAGATGGACGGGGCGGCGCGCGCGGGCCCCAGCCCTGGCTTCAAATTCTGGCTCCGCCAGGGCGTCCCGAGAAGCGGGGCGGAGGGAGGCGGAGGGGCAAGCTGTGGGGTGCCGCCGCCGCACCCCCAACTCAGCTGTGGCTCTGAACGTGGAACTTAAAGTCAACTGAGTACTGAGTGTTCAGCAGTGCCCCCCGACTCTTGAAAGAAAACTGTCTAAGAAGAGAAAAATAAAAGCCGAAGCACGTGCTTCTGGCCATATACCGGCACGTCTGCCCGCAGGTACGCGCGCCCGAAGTGCCGTCACTGACGAGAACGTCGTTCTTACTTAGCTTGGTGGCAAACCGCCGTCTTCGGTGTCAGCGAGCTGTGTGTGTTACTTACGCCGGAGGTATGCGTTCAGCAATGCCACGTGTGGGCGGCGTGCAGAGAAGCCTGGTTGGCGCAGGCGTTGGCCCGAGTCTGGGAGACGAGGCCGGAGGCGTCTGGCCGCAGCGTGACTGCAGGGGGGTGCCTGCTCTCAGAGCCCTGGATGCGGAGGGCGGGAGTCTGGGATTTCTCGCCCTTCCCCGGTTTCCCTTGGCCTCTCTCATTTGCTTGGCAGAGTCGCACTCCCCGATGAGTAGTGACCTGGGTTTCTCTGTGACTCCATGTCAGCAGCTCCTCCGGCGGGTGCTAGCCCAGATCAGTTCTCACGGAGCCACCTTCCGCTGCAACCAACTCTTTGCTGGGTTGGAGGTGAAGAAACGGGGCTGCTGGGTGATGTGTCTGCGGCCGGCGAGGAGTCGAGTTGAGACTGGGACAGACTGACCGCTCGGGAGCCCGGCTTCAACCCCTGAGCCACGTGGCCTCTTTTCCTCTTGACAGTCCTGTCTTTGTGTTTGGATCTTAAAGGTAACTTCCATTTTCCTGCAGAAGTCAGGTGTCTTCGGACAGTGGCTGTTCCCTTGACACGCTGTGCCAGTGTGTGAGGCAGCAGAGGGCCGCGCCTGGGCTCCGGCATCAGGAAGGGAGGGAGCCGACTCCCCAGCGCCGCGGGGTGGCCCCAGAGCGGGTTTCAGCCCCGTGCCAGGTCCGCTCAGGGGTGCCGGTGCCCTCGGGGAGTGCAGCTGGCAAGACCCAAGGGCACTTCTTCAGCAAGGAAAAGGGGGCACAGAAGCTTCTAGCCTTCAGCACCCCGATGTTCTCAGCCCAAAGCCCTGCGAGTGCAGCAGACTCCTGGGGTCGCCCAGCCTTGATGTCCGCGGTGCTGCGCCCAGGGACGAGGCTGACTCCGCCTGGTGGGAAAAGCCCTTTGGGGAGCGGACCCCATTGTCCAGCCTCGGTGCAGGCCTGTGCGTGGCTGAGTTAGGGCCTACCCTGGGGCTGACTCTGTTTTGCCACAAGTAGCACCAATGTTCCGGACCGTTTCCAGTTTCAGTTTCTGGAAGTGGAGCAGAAACGAAGACGTGACAGGCCCCCGCCCTGAATACGAAGCACAGCCAGCCCCTTCAGGGCCACTGCCTGGAAGGACGGAGCCGGGCCCGCTGCAGCCAGGGCCGCCTCCGCTGGGGAAGGGCCCTGCCGTGCCCACCTGCCGGGCACCCGGCAGGGTGTCCCCGGAGGGCGCCGAGAATCGCTTGGTCTTCGCACATCTTCCCTGGGGGCCAGTGGCGAGGGCACACTGCACTGTGAACTTCAAGCACTTCGAAGGTGGCGTGAGACTTTGAACTTCCTCGTGCTGGTCTGTGTGGCTGAGCCTGGCCCTGGCTCCCTGGTGTAGGCACCAACATCGCCCAGGCAGGAGGCCCTGGACGCGGGTGCCCCCTCGCTCACCCGCCTTCGCCTCTCCGGATTCTGACTTCCCCCCACCCTGTGCTCTGCAGCTCCCATTTCTGCCTGTGGAAAAGGCCCAGCTCAAATCCGTGAGCCTCGTCCATTCCCCGGCTGGAAGGATGGAAGGAGGTCCTTTTCGCTGAGCTTCCACAGCCCGGTGGGTTTTCTTCGACGTTCTTGGGTCACTTGTCCCCTCCCTGGGGCGGCTGCTGCCCCCACCTGCCTTCTGAGCGGCCACCCTCGAGCTGGCGGCGCCGGCCCGGCCCGGAGGCCCCACGCACGTGTGTTTGGGTGAAGGCGTGGGGAGGGGAATCTGTCGTCGTAACCGCTTGGGGGTGTCTCCGCGTGTGAGGCTTCCAGTTTGGTGACTTTGCAGAAAGATGCAGGAGCGTGGAGTGCTCAGGGCCACAGACCTGAAAATAAAGGAGGGGCAGGAAACACACGGCTCCTAGAATTTGACGTCTAAAGATCTCAGGCTTTTTTCGTTCAGTAGAGAAAGAAGAAGGCCACAATCTTAGGGATGACTACAAACGTGCTCCCCACGGAACTAAACTACTCTTCATCTGCTGGGACGATCTGTTGCTGACTTGGGGGTCTCACTGAGTGTTCTTTGCTGCGGCTGGGGCGCTGGTGTCTGGACCCCACCGCTCGCGTCACGTCCTCATGCCCACGCCGACAACACGCAGGTCCATCTGCAAGCTTGGGGCACGACACCTCCTGCGCCCTTCTGATTTTTGACCCAAATTGGGAAGCTTTAAGGTCACAGAGTCTGACTCAGAATCGGTAGTGCCAAAGCTTACGGTGTTTGCTCTGCGTGATGCCAAGTCTTGAAATGGTTAAGGATGCAGAGGTCCCTTCGCCAAGGTGCTGAAGTCTCAGGACCGCTGAGCCACCCCCCAGGCCCCATCACGGCAGGAGCCACGCGCGCCCTGGCCCTGCGGGCCTCTGTGTGTGTGTGGGGGGGGAGGCGTCTGATCTGGGCGCCAAGGTGCCTGGGAGGACCCGCACCTGCCACCGCCCTGCGGGGCACTGCCTTCTCCAAGGGCCTCTTCCAACGCTGCTTCTCACTGGGGAAGCAATAACTCCAGCAAGTCACAGGAACCCGAGTAACACGGCCCCCGGCGCGATCTAATGGTCTAACTGAGCTGTGCAACCCGGGAAGAAGGGAGAAAACACGTTTCCTCTCAGTTCACACTAAGTGCTCACCCTCGGCCCAGAACCAGCAGCCAAGAAGTGCGTTGAGCTTCAAAGAAGAGTTAGACCAAGAAAGCCTACCTATACGTGAAAACTGAAAAACAAAAAGATCAATATCTTGTATATTTGGAAATCAAAAGACACTTCTAAATAACCCACAAGATCAAACAGAAACCTCAACGGAAATTTACTGCATGATAATGAAAAACTCCACACAAAGAGACTTGCAGAGGCAGCAAAAGTGAAATCTCCTTGGCTTTTTTTTATCCTCAAGGGAGAATTTCGACTTTAATATGTCTAAAGTAAGATCTCACAAATTAATGAGCCAAGGGTCTTAGTCAGAAAAATGACAGAATAAACCTACATTAAATCGAAGGGATAATTTAAAGCAAAAACAAGTGCGCACGTAAATAAAACAGACTTCGAGATAATGTGATTTGGAAAGTCAACCAAGAAAAAAATGGCTCTTGGGGAGAAAAATAGCCGTAGGCAATTTTTGGCCAAGATCAGATCAACCGAAAAAGTGAAAGGGACACAAAGGTGCTAATAGGCTAGAGGCGACGTGTCAGCGATGGCTGTTGACTGCGAGTGAAAATCTCAGCCACACTGTCTGACTTATATATGTAGCACAGCAGGTTATCAACATAAAAATAGGATTTTTTTGGGTGGTGGGTGAAGGAGCTTCTGACTGCTACTTTGACCTTAGGATGCTCTGATGCTCTGATGCAGAGACAGCAGCACCGGGAAGCGCTTTCGAGATGCTGGGTCCGGGACTACAGCGTCTGTGTCTGCCGCCTCGTCCCTCCGTGGCGGTGAAATGTCTGACTTGACCCGCAGGCAGCAGATCTTGCACAGCTGTTTCCGACTTCAGCTGGCATGGCTGGTGTGGCTGGCGTGGCTGGCGTGGCTGGCGTGGCTGCTGGAGCAAGGAGGGCTCCCTTCCCAACACGTTTGGCAGTCCGTGCACATGGCCAGGAAGCTCGCCCCAGGGTGAACATCAGTCCTCAACTGCAGTCAAGTTTCTCAGGGCGACTTCGCTGCCTTAATTGTACCGGGTGGACAGGAAGTGGAATTAGAGATGTGCAAGCCTCCGACTCTGGATCAGGCATCACCAAGCTGGTGAGTGGGAAGCCTGAGTGCCCAGGGGACTCTGCAGGCTGCAGGAAGAGCTCCCAAATGCAGGCTTTCGGCATTCTGAGCACCAGCAAAATGAGTTCTGCAGGTGGACTTTTGTCTTGATGTTCTCGTGCTTTTTGTGTAAAGACTCACCAAGTCTCCTCAGGGTTCCTCTGGCTTTGGGGTGTGATCAAATCACCGATCAGTAGTGATCGACAGCCTCCAGCCCCTCTCCTCTTCCCCGGGACCAGAGGTTGGTTCACAAACACAGTGTAGAATGTTCTGGGCCCTGCGCCTGATCTGATGGGCAAAGGAACAACGCTGTTATCACAGGCTCCATCTTGTAGGTCACCTGAAGGTGTCAGTATTCAGTGGAGGGGTCTCGCAACGGCGCCCCATCCTCGCGGTGGGTGACAGTCTTCTGAAGGGAAGTGACTAAACCCTGCCCTGCCTGCCTCTAGCCTCAGCGTATCTTTAGACTAGGACAATGTAGAAGCAGAAGGCACCACTATCAAGAGTAATTTTTTTAATATTAGATTCAG